TTTCTACTAAACACATTTGAAGCAACACCTTGAACAATACCATTGCGTTTTATTCTTTTATTTAAAAAAAAGCTTTATTATGCAATCCTTCTGTAGAAATTGCTTTAGTCTCCCACAAGGCTTTAGTTCAGTGATGTCTACCCTTGCGACCACACACTTTTTGGGTTATTTCAAATTCCACGATCCTTAGTGCAACCCATCAACTCTCTATCCACAATGGTATGATCCACCATTTGAAATAATATTGAAGAGGTACTTGGTCATAATTTCACAACAGACCCAGAATTTGTAACTGGCCACTGGTTTTAACTTGATTAAAATTATGACCATAGTGGTAGGATCCCACTCATTGTGTCACCAAGAATACGTGGGGATTGCCAACAATCAACTCTGGAATTAAATATCTGAACGCTACAGCAAAAGTAGCACAAATCATAAAACAAACTTACTACTGTCTGTTTGATTGATCTTTGATTTGGGAGTGTGGCTCACGGCATGACTGGGGTCACAAATGATATTAGGATTAAGAACTCAACCCAGTCAAAAAATATCTTTCACGGACAGTAACTAAGTTGGAAACTCCAGAAAATGACTGTCTAAAATAAAACTTTGTCTCAAGAAAAACAACTATCACATAAGAAGATAGATATGGAAAGTACAAAGGAATAATAATTTTACAAAAATTTTTAAAAAAAAGGACAATAAAACTCACCCATCTATTCTGTGCATTTACCATTCTTAAATGGACCCTTAAAGTACTCTGGAATTATGTTCCTGAAAAACATATTCTACGGAACAAAACATGCAAGAACAGTCAATATTCTGCCAATGTTCTTTGCACTAAGACAGCAAGAATATTATTATTATTATTATTATTATTATTATTATTATTATTATTACTGTGTATTTATAATACATTTTCCAATTTTCCCCATTACAATCACAACCAGTTTCTCTGCAACTCCTAATAATCGATCTCTGTGGTAGCTATTAAGGACAATTAAGAAAGATAATGTATTGAGCAGAAAAAAAGCACTATGTAAAGATTAGACTCAAAAGATTCTGATACCAAATGGTGATAGCAATCAAAACATAAATGAGCTAGGGTATCAACAATCAAGCTCAGTGATCCAGAAACATGCCCTGTAATAATCAACAGATTAAATCAGATGCTAGAATGGAACATAACCCCCAAATCTAGCACATGGGGTACATATGTTGTGTAGTGATTAAAAAACATAGATCACATTCATTTTATCTCTCAATTACTATTCCCATAATCCAAAATGAGGAAATTGCACGTTGGTGGGAAACCTACTGAGGTGTACCAATTAAAAAAAAAGAATTGAATCCGATTTCACCATCTGTTAACCATCCCATTCTTTTGAACAGTCGTGTGCCCTCTACTGAATGCCACTTAGTGTTCCTGGACCTAATATTTATTTATTAATGCCATCATTAACTAAAATTAACTCAAGGCAGGGAAGACAATGAATCAAGTTGCATTTTCCAGGTTCCTTCTAATAGTTAATCTCTAGCCAAGAAATTGTCAGATTGTCATAAAATAAAATTTGCCATGCACCCTAACACAACGTGTTTATTAATTTTCTTGACTACTAATGAACTGCTGTCCCAGGATGTTTTTTTATTTTCTTTGGAAAAATGCCACCCCGTGTAAGGTTATCAGAAATGGCAGCTTGCCTCTTGGGATACACTGTTACCAAAGGTTCTGTCCTTTCAATATTTACAAGCATTGTCCCTTTCCGTGACCTGTCCTTACTTTTTTGCAAAGACTTTCAAATTCATTGCATCAGATTCGAGTATGGGATATCCATTTTCTGAAAGAAGCAAGATCGATGTTCTGAACATCATTAACAATCACCACACTATGTCGTGGAAGGGTTACATTGTTACATAGTGATAAAGGCTACAAAGGCTCGAGTAAGGCTTGAGTCTATCTAGCTCAGCCTTTCACACATATTTGCTTCTGCAGTTAATGCAAAAGGTGAATAACCCAAGTATAGTGATTTCTTATTTTGGCCTGAATTTAATTAGAGCAAATACGCTTTATCAGCAGTGTATTGGGTTCCGATAAGGCTTTTATTGGTTTGGATTGATTAAATTGTTAAAGGCATATAGGAAGCAGATAAATGTTGGTTCAAATTATTATTATTAAAGAGGATGGGAAAAAAAGAAGACATCTAGTAGTAAGTGTAACCTTTTTTTTTATTTGTTACCAGGAATTTAGATATATTTGTGCCCAAATTCTATTATTAAGGTGGGAGAGAAGATTTTTTTGTAATTTTAATTGTGGGGTGGCCAGAAGCTTGGTGATCTCTAGTGGGGAGGACCTGGCCCAAATTTCATTAATAGCTATAGGTGTCATTAATAACCCCAGTGTGAAGCCTGTGGTTGCAGGGTTGGACAAAGGCATGTTCACCCACCCATCAGTATTGCTCAAATAACCCCACCGACCCAAGTGTCATCCCTGGCCCACAACAATGGACTCTAGTGTCCCCCTGGCCCATCACTGTGGGCTAGCGGGGACACTAGTCCCCCCATGCATTTATTTAGTAGCCCTCCCATGCTCCACTCATGGGTGAGGGTTGGGGGCGGATATGATGTCACCCACTATTTGTTTAGTTATTAGGTAAAAACTAGTTACTGTACATCTGTTACTGTCACCCCTTATGGCTAGCAGATGGGGATCTGCTAGCCATAAGGGGTGACAGTAACAGATGTACAGTAACTAGTTTTTAACTTGGTTTTCCACTGTTTAGCAGGATGCCCAACCAGCAAATGTGCTGAAGCATACGTAACATGCAAGGAGGTGCATTTGCAATTGTTCATGCAGTTGAGAAATGCAAATGAACGTTTTTGTACCTTATATAAATTACAATTAGACTTGAGAAAAGCTTCACAATAAAAGAGGAAAATGAGAGAATGTCTAACCATGCTACAAAAAAAAAAAATGTTCTTTCACCCCCATGTAGTTAAAGGAATATTCATCAAATAAAAAGTTGGAAATAAGAAAAATTCAACCCAAAGAATCAAGTGGTGTTACAATATAACTTTCTGTTCAATTCATTATAAAGATAAGACAAGTAAAATAAGTCTTGGCAGAAAGTACCTTATTTTAAACAGCAGCAAAAAAAAAGCAATTTGTTGGAGGTTAGAAAGACTTTCGATTAAAGGTGGTTGAGCTGAGGAATCTGTGATAACACATAGCAGCTTCAGTTTGTCTCACCTTTACTGAACCTAATTCAATTCTATTTTAACCAACAATGCTTCTGTGTCTGGTCAAAGCATGATAACATAAGCACCTCTCGAACAATACATATCATATATCCCATTCAGTCATTATCAGTCTTGCTATCTCTCTCCGAGCTTCTAATAGTTATGTAGAATTCCTAACTGCCAGTGTTGTTAAAGAATACATTGAATAAGAAAAAAGTATTCATTTATATTTCTAAATCAAAGGCAAAGTTGACTGACGGTGGGACTGTAAAGCATTACTCGAACTAAATAATTTTATGCACTTTGAAGGTTTTCCTGCAGAGGAATATTATTTCAGTTTAAAATAATGTATTATTGGCAAAACTCAGTCTGATGATCAGAGCGTGTGATAAATGCTATGCAAAATGTCATGTTCCCTGGATAGCATTGATATCTCTTTCCTTATTTCCCCGGTATTACCCAACATGTCACTTAAAAAAATGTGTGCTATTTACCAGTATCTACAAGCGCTTTCTGTTAAACTCTACATTTTAAATATAAAACTTCATCTACTTCTGACCGAATTTGCAAGAAATTCTACACACTCTGATACTGGTTAGTTAGTACAAACTGACCAATATTGGTTACTCCATGTATCTAAATTGCTTCCAATAGTCTAAGATTTCAAAGCATGCTGTCTTTTGAGATAATGAGCTTTCAATTAGTGTGTAGCTCAACTCCCCCTGACAGTCAATCAGATAGCTGAGCAGTTGATCTTCCTAATTAGGAAGATACCTTTTATCCATGTTGTGCTGAGGTTATGCACTGCATGGGCAACTAGGGCAACTAGGGCTGAATTCTCACCAAGGGAAGGGAGCTAAGACTCAACAACATGCATGGTTCTTTAAATAGTGAATATCAAGCAGTGATAGGCTAATAAAACTTTAATATAACTGCTATCCATTTACAGAAAAGTTCCAATCAACCTGGAAAGTAGGGACAGGCAACCCTCAGCGCTCCAGATGTTATAGACTACATCTCCTCAGAATCTTTGCCAGCAGTATGGCTGTGAGAGCATTTTGGGTGATGTAGTCTACAACATTTAGAGTGCTGAACGTTTCCTATCCTTGGTGTACAGAGTTGAACTACTCTTGTGGGAAGAAGTGTAAAAACCCAAACACTTGTGCAAAAGAAAAAAATCTGGGACCAAAGTTACAGACAATACATAGCGTAATCCAGCAATGATCAAATACCGCCCAGTATACTATAGATGTGACACTCACAAACAGAAGTAATATATGCGCTCATCACTCCTCCGGGGTGTGGACAAGAAATAGAGGTTCTTCTTATAGTAGATCTAGAATGCTCACATACAAGGAGAGAGAGACACCCACAATAGTAAAGTAAGTAAAAAAAAAAAAAGAATTTATTGTATTGCACTTACAATTAAAAAGTGTAAACAGGCATGTCTCCACATGAGTGGTAAGATGCAGAAGTGACTTCCTCTTTGACAGGGTGCACAGCCCGATATACAAAAAATACAAATAAAATACACAAACAAAAGTACTAAAAGTTCTAGGGATCCTGTATCATTCAATGTGTTTCGGCCTCTGTATGGGACTTCCTCAGGGATGTGTGGTTAGGTCCGGAGCTTTACAATAAATACCTCCTGGTAAAATGATTATTAGTATCATGTGAGCCCGGCGTGTGTTCCACCTTGGATGCTGTAGTGTACTGCCTGTTAATTTAAAGTCCGATCTTGATGCCTCCTGCATGCGTTTTACCTTGGAACGCTTATGGTGTCATTGTACAAAGTCCCGCTGGATGGTGTTCGTTGGTAAGAGTATTTCTTCTTGCCCAGACGTGTGTTCGCGGCTACAATCAGCAGCGAGCACATGTCCCGAAGGAGAGCCACATGGGACATAGAACAGAAAAAACTGAAAAAAGAGAAAATCGTAGCATCTATTATATTATATGTACATACATGAATACGCCATGAATAACAAAATAACAATTTGAATTTCAATAGGCTATAAATATACTAAATCTTGATAGATGTAAAAAAATATACATTACATATAAAAATATATATGTTAAAAATATAATCATAATATATTTATAAAACAATTTAATATAAATATATATATATATATATATAAGTTTTAAATGATATCAATGGGACATAGACAACATAGTATATATATATGTGTATACATCATAAAAAAACAGAAGTGAGAAATAGAGAAAATCTGTAGAAAAATGGAAATACTAAATAAGTCCTGCCAAATCTATGTCTTGATTTAAGCCGTATTTTAAAGTTTTTAAATTATATACATCCATTCCTGCAACAATCCCATGTAATTTGAAGACTGCAGCTTAAAGGTACAGACTGAGAATCAGAAGCTATTCTAAGGGATTCCATTCATCTTAGTTACTACTTTACTACTACAATGTTACTATGTGTACCTGTGGTTTCTTCTACCTATACAATCAGGGGTTCTCAAACTCCGACCCCCCCAGATGTTGCTGAACTACAACTCCCATGATTCTCTGGCTATCCATGTAATTCAAAGAATCATGCGAGTTGTAGTTCAGCAAAACCTGGGGGGCCGGAGTTTGAGGACCCCTGCTATACAACATGCTCTTCCAGCTGTTTGGAACCACAGCCAATCACCTCCTTATTACCTTCACATGCTATCAGCTGCTAGAGTTCTACCATTAACTCTCTCTGCCATGACATACAAATCCCTCTGCTACCTCTTGTCTCATTTCCCCAGTTTAACCTTTAGATTGTAAGCTCACAGGCAGGGCCCTCTACCTGTTGTATCGGTCTGTTCTTATTGTATTTTTTCCCAATTGTACAGCGCTGCAGAATATGTTGGCACTTTATAAATACCAGTAATAAAAAAAATATATCCACTGTGCTTCTTTTCAGGTGAGTTCCTGTAGTTTATCCTCTCCTTTCCAACTGGATTCTACTTTATCAACCCCAATGCCACAACATTATTAAAATTCGATTTTTTACAAGAATTGCAGTGTTTTAGGATGTTATGATCTGTTTTTTTTGTTTTTTAAATTATTCAGGTTTTCTAGAATTCGAAAGTGCATTTTCTTCTGGTTCGTCCAATGTATTCTGCTCCACAAGCCCATTGCAACAAATAGATTTCAAATGTGCTAGAGTACTGTATGAATTTATTAATCCTGTATTCCTGCTGTGTATAAGTACTTTGGAACTGTTAATTTTTTCTTTTTTGATGTTTACAAGTCGTACATTTCCCACAACTGAAAAAAACCCTTCGGTTGAGTAATAAGAAAAGTAGAATTATGGATTTTAGTTGGGAGGGAACTGGGGGCCAGTCTGTTCTTTAGATTAGTGGCTTTTTTAAAAATAACAGTAGGAAAGTCTGGAATTAGGCTTCCCAAAATATCATCTTTTTCGAGTACATGCCAATGTTTTTTTTTTATGGCTTTCTCTATTTTTTTGGCATGTGCACTATTTTTAGTGATAAACGCAAAATCACTTTTTTGGGGATTTGTTTTTGAGATTTCCTTTTAGTATTATTAAGGAGCAAAGATCTATCTGTATTCCTAATTTTGAGTTCGACTTTCTCTATTTTTTCTCTGTTATAACCTTTATTAATATATCGATTCTTTATAATGTTGGATTGAATAGAAAAAGCTTGTTAATCAGTACAGTTCCTCCTGAGTCAAATTAATTGGCTTTTAGGAATATTCGCCAACCAGGAGGGATGGTGTGAACTAGTACATTCTATTTCCGTGTTAAAATGTTTTTGGTTTTTAATTTTCCATTTTGAATAAAGAAAGTAAGGTCCAAAATATCTATATGTTCTGAATGAAAATTATATCTGAAAAAAAAAAAATTAAGCCAGGCTGTGGGAATCACTGTCTAAGTAGCGCTCCTCCATACCCCAGAGGGCTTATTTTACATCCATTTGTGAGTGTCACATCTATAGTGTAGTGGGGGGTATTTGATCATTGCTGGATTACGCAATGTGTGACAGATCCATCTGTATAGACTGGGATTGCTGGTTCGTCTGTTTTGTCTTTTCGTGGAATTACCTGTTCGTATGCCCCTGTTCGTTTAATTGACTTTTCTGCCGAACAAAACTACCGAACGAACGGCCACCCAGAAGAGAAGTTAGAACATTGTGGTTAACCGCAGATGCCTCTCAATTAAAACCAAATGCAGGGTGGTCATTGTTCGTATGTCGACCACGTCATTTTAAACAGGCGAAAGACCAGCGGTGTTCAGCCCAGATTCTATGGAACTGAAAATGGACACTTTTTCCACCGAACACCGCTGAAGCCACCGACCTCCCTTCTCAATCGACAAAAGTATACAAACACCAGCCATTCAGGAGTTTGAAACGCACGAATGGACTTAACCCAGATAGCCTTCCCATGGAGTCAATCACATACCGAAAGACTGTAATAAACTTTGACTCCATGGCGATTGAACTATGCGTATGGGATCTGAGCGCTAATCGCCAATAATATGCACTCAGATACAGGCTATCTGAGGATGTGTTAAACGAATGAGAAATGTTCGGCAATTGTAAAGTTATATATTTTTATGTGTTTTTTGGGTTGTATCTAAAATGGCGCTTTGCCTCTGTCCTCGGAGATAATTGAATTACTTCTTAATTGTCTCCAGGGCAGAGGGGAGGAAACCATGATGCATGCTGGGAATATTATGTGCCTGTGTGTCCTGAAATGCTGTATGTCCATCTGCCATTACAGTCTCCCATTTGGTCCCCTAGGGGAGTGTCCACCAAGTGGGAGACCTGCATAAATACGGGCGGGTAGCCCACAGTAAACCCAGTTCATGTTTTACCCTCAATGTGGAGCTTGGTCTCATTATTGGGGGGATTTATTACCGACGAATAGAGACTGCCGGATGGGAATATTGGCCGCTTGGGAGATATAGGAGTTCGGTTACTAGCGGCGATTTGTGAGATTGGAGTTCGGGAAGTGAAGTATCCGTACGGGTCCCGTTCGGGAGATTGGAGCGTTCCCCTGCTTGCAATTCATATGGTTGCAGTTGATATGAATGAAGCTTGTGTTATGGTGAGAGGGGAGGATTCACTAAACGGCGGTTTGTCTATTTAATGCTGAGGGTGCCGTTACACTATGTATTTAAAAATGATTAATTTTTAAATTTTTGGTGTGTCATATTTAAGTTTTAGATATATGTGTGTACAGAAGTTTACCATTAAAGGACAGATACAATGTCATTGGAGATTTGCACCATATTTTGGGTCAAGCAATAACAGGTTCAGGAATGATGTAATGTGGCAGTTCTTCGGCCGATACCGCCATGGGGATGCCCAGATTTTTCTGTGCGAGCGGCGTTGCCGGTCTTCCATGGCTGTCATTTTGATTGACAGATACGTTTGTGTTGCTGGATTTGTTCGATAGATTCTCCCATCGTGTTAACGTGAGCGTGAACTGTCACCATTTCTTCTTCTGTGGCTCTCACCCTTTCCGTGACTGTTCATAGTTCTTGAGGAGGGCTAAGTCAGCTGCCAGGATTTTGTGGATGTCTGCTAAGAGGATTTTTAGGTCGCGCTTGGTAGTTGGAGCAGAGTCATCCGAGGACTCCGGTGGTGGTGGCTGCAGTGCTTGTAATTTGACTCATAACACTCTGATTGCTTTCAAACCCCTTTCAACCAATCAGAGGGTTATGAGTCAAATTACACAGCATGGGAAAATTCCAAAGAACTTTCCCATTATGTGTAAAATGACTCAGAGCATTCTGTTTGGTTGGATTCCAAGCCAACCAATCAGAGTGCTGTGTAAGGTAAATGTAGAGACTTACCTGTCAGTCTCTTCATTTACCTATAAGAGCACTCTGATTGGTTGGGTCACGAGTAGGGGTTCATGGGGGGTATTATGTCCCCCCCCATTTTAGTTATTCGGGTGTAACGGATCGCCTGGCACCCCGACTGGGTACCTCCGTTGAAGGATGCTCCTAGCGCTTACAGAGGGCTCCAAGTGCTCCACCAGACACCACAACCACCGCAGACCCCACGAACTGCCGCAGCGTGGTTGGGGTCTTGCCGTCTCCTACCCACCCTGGACCTATGACAAGGCTCCAGGTTCCAGTGGGTGAACCTCTCCTCCAAGAGAGTGAAGCAGGAACAAGCTCTTAAAAGAGCTTAGAGTGATTATCCAAGGGAGCATGCAGAGTATAGCAATCCCTTGTAGTGATATAGCAATTCCCAAATAAGAGACAGGACTCTAGATTGAGGGTGAAGAAGAACTGACTGTACTGGCACATACAGCCTCTTTTATTCACATTCACAGGGTTTTGCAGAACAACCAATCAATACGTACAATACACTCAGACACTCCCACACAAAATGCTCCCCTCTGCCTGTGATATAATTACTGAACACAATGGTCTAATGTAATTATCACAGGCAGGAAAATACAGTTTTACACAAAATTCATAACCCTAAAAGTATACATCACATTCACTTACATTTTCAGAATCAGCATACTCCAAATACAAACATACGTCAAAATCATACAAATTGGTCCAGTGGGTCAAAAGTTAGTTGGAAATCCCTTTGTGACCGCCTGCAAGCATGGCTTGGGTGTGGTAAGCCAATTACCTCCAGCATACAGAAAATAGCTCTATTCACAACAACAGTAAAAACACATAAAAATACATAATTCCTATTACACTTAACAGAACCCCCACATTCAACCTATCCCCAGATAGCTTGGATCTGAGCGCTCCCTATATCCGAACAGCACTCAGCTACCACAAACACAGTCCAATCGCCATGGGGTTAAACCATAACAACAAGTTCCAACTTGTCTGGCAATGTCCCTGTGACAACACCCTGATGGAGAACAATAGACAGGAAACGGGGGAGGGGCACACATTCTCATGTATTCAAAGGGGCAG